TCCATGACCAGGCCAATGCGGCGCTCAGCAACCCCATTCTGCTGCGGGGAGTCCGGAAGCGTGAAGGTCTGCTCGATGCCCTCCGCCTGACAGAAGGTCCTCAAGAGATCGGAGGAAAACTCACCACCTCTGTCAGAGTGCAGACGCAGGACAGGAAGATCCGTCCGGAAACGGCGGCGGAGCTGGAGACGAACCGTGCGGATCCAAGGGATCAGAACAGCAGGGACCTCACCCTTGGTGCGCAAGGGGAAGACCGTGGTGTAACGCGAGTAGTCGTCGACAACCAGCAAAAAGTACCGCTCACCGCCCTGACCACGAACGCGGGCTGGGCCCCACACGTCCAGGTGGAGGGTCTGCAGAGGAGCCTCTGTCGGGGGGAACGAGGAGGAGTGAGGAGCGGCGCGCTGCCGCCCCTCGACGCAAGGAAGGCAAGGCGGCGCAGGCGAGGCAGGGAGGGGAGGGAGGGACCTGGGAAGACCAGACACAAGGTGGCGACGGTGCATGCCACGAAGGCGTGGCAAGGAGGGGTGACCCAGGCGGTGGTGCCAGAGAAGAGTCTGGTGCGACAGGGAACGACACTCACAGGCGTGGGCTACCAGACCTGACGCAGACACCTGACCAACAGCAGCGACCTGAGGAGACGCAGTGGTCAGTGTGTAGAGACTCGACCCCGGCCGACGGGTAAACGTAGCCAGGTGACGGCCGGTCCTGGAGCACGTGCAGATCGCCACACGCTGTCCTCCAGGGGTAAAGGTGTCAACCCACTGATCCTGGAGGACAGCGTTGCTCACCAGGTTCGTCGAGAACGAGGGGAGGTGGAAACCCGACAACGAGCCAGACGGAACCGCCGGACAAGGGAGGACAGTGGTGGACTGGGCAAGGACTGGGCCCCCAGAGGGGTCAGCCAAGGAGACTGGGACCGGTGCAGGAAGCGGTGTGAGCTCAGTACTGTCACGAAAGAAGCAACGGGAAGCACCTGAGTCAAGGGTGAAGGTGTGACAGGCCTCAGCCGGTGCGGTACCTGAGAGAGCAGTCTCTGTGGGTGCTGTACCTGAGAGAGCAGACTCGAAACCAGCCGGGACAGCACTGGAGGGAGCAAGTACAGGGGGCACCATACCAGAGAGAGCAGACTCACTAGTACCCAGGGCAGCGGGCTCTATACCTGGGTCAGGCGGCACACACAAGTAACAGTCTCCCTCGGCACTAACAGTCAATGCATACATGGCAGCAATAATAGCATCATAGTCAAGAGCAAAGACATCAACACCAGCCCTCATGAGCTCAGCCCAGCGGGGGCGCTCAACATCCGCACCCATCTCCTCACGCCAAGCGTCGTCAAGGCGGGAGAAGCAGCGGTACGGGGTGTGGAACCTCCCACACGTCTGCCCCTTGCGGTCACCTGTGCGAATGACATAAGAACAGCGGCCACTGCCCCCCGACGTCCCACGCTGAGCAAGCCACTCACGAAGCTGCTGGGTCGTCTGGGGACGCTGCTGCTGCTGGGAGCTCTGGCCCGAGCCAGTGCCTCCACTCCGACCGCCGCCGCCACCACTACCACCGCTCCGACCGCCACCGCCACCACCGCCACCACCGCCACCGCCGCCACCGCCGCCGCCGCCACTACTGCCACTGCTTCCGCCGCCGCCCCCGCCTCCACCACCGACCCCACTCCCACCAGCGCTCCCGCCACCGCTCCCTCCAGCACCGCCTCCCCCCCCACCTCCCCCACCTCCTCCCCCCCCAGCGCCACCACCACCACCCTTGCCCCCCTTGCCCTTGCCGGTGCGGCGCCTCCCACCAGGAGCAGAAGCAGCGCCAACAGACTCAGCACCAAGGAAGTCAACAGCAGCAGCAGCAGCGTAGGAGGGAGCGAGGGGAGAGGGAGAACACCCCTCAAAGATGGGGGTGCGAGGAGCGCCACGAGCAGCACCGACAGCTACAATGCTCTTTTCGGCCGCGAGCAGCTGCTCCTCTAGGAGGGCGACTGTGAGCTCAGTGGGACAGCGAGCAAGGAAGTGGTCTCGAACTGAGCGGAGGGTGTCAGGGAGACGGGTGACTATGAAGTGGAGTGTCCAGTACAGTGGAGGGGGGTTCTTAGCGCAGAACTCGGTGGGAAGGGCGGCACGCAGGCGAGCATCACTAGTGCGAAGGTGGGTGATAAGATCGGCGACTGTAGTAAAGGTGGACAGATCGGGGAACAGGTACGGCAGCATGAGGCGGCTAAGCTCGGCTGTGGCAGGCGAGGAGTAGCGAGCAACGACAGCATCGTACAGGGCCTTAGCGGATTTGCAGTCGCCAAAATGCTCGAGCTCAGCTAGCGGCAGGTGACTGCGAATGGCTAGGCGAGCAGCTGCGTCACGAGTCTGCCAGTGGGAACGAACACTAAGCTCGGCTGTGGCAGCAGGAGCAGCAGCAGCACCAGACGCGTAGTCATAGAGGGAGATGTGGTCCGTGCTATTGCTCATAAGATACAACTGCAGGTCGTCGAGCCAGGAAGTGAACTGCACGGGACGGCCCTCAGCATCGAAGGAAAGAACGCGAATAGAGGCCATAGCTCAGGCGTGAGGGCACAGCAGAGCAGCGGCAGCAGCAGAGGGGACGCGCTAGAGCGAAGCTAGCAGCCACAGCAGGAGCAAGCGGCGGTGCACAGGCAGGGAGCAGCAGGCGAGAAGCGCGGCGGGCGGGCTGCGAAGCGGGCAGCGGGGCGGGCGGGCGACGCAGCAAGCGGGCAGTGAGGCAGCGGGCGGCGCTGCGAAGCAGGTAGCGGGCGGGCGGGCGGCGCTGCGAGCGGGCAGCGAAGCGGGCGGGCCGCGAAGCGGGCAGCGAGCGGGCGGGCGGGCTGCGAAGCGGGCAGCGGGGCGAGCGGGCTGCGAAGCGGGCGGGCCGCGAAGCGGGCAGCGAGCGGGCGGGCGGGCTGCGAAGTGGGCGGGCCGCGAAGCGGGCGGGCCGCGAAGCGGGCAGCGAGCGGGCGGGCGGGCTGCGAAGCGGGCAGCGGGGCGAGCGGGCTGCGAAGCGGGCGGGCCGCGAAGCGGGCAGCGAGCGGGCGGGCGGGCTGCGAAGCGGGCGGGCCGCGAAGCGGGCAGCGAGCGGGCGGGCGGGCTGCGAAGCGGGCAGCGGGGCGAGCGGGCTGCGAAGCGGGCGGGCCGCGAAGCGGGCAGCGAGCGGGCGGGCGGGCTGCGAAGCGGGCAGCGGGACGAGCGGGCTGCGAGCGGGCGGCTCGGCGGGCGGGCGACACTGCGAGGGGCGCGCGAGGGCGCTAGTGAGGGGCGCGCGAGGGCGCTAGCAAGGGGCGCGCGAGGGCGCTAACGAGGGGCGCGCGAGGGCGCTAACGAGGGTGCGCGCGAGGGCGCTAACGAGGGGCGCGCGAGGGCGCTAACGAGGGCGCACGAGGGCGCTACGAGGCTAGGGCACGGGGTAGCGTGGTAACCGCATGCGAGCGGTGGTGGGCCCTAAAAAAAACGGTCGGTAGGTCCTAGGGACCTCCTGCTCTGAATACCATCTCAAGATAACTAGGCAAGAATGAATGAACTAGCAGAAGTTTGGGTACAAATATGAAACCCTAGTTGGGGTTGTACCCCATATTGGCTACCCCACTACAGCCTACAAGCATAATACAGTTTAACACAAACAACTTAGGCAAATGGGACTAAGTCGACTAGACTGAAAGGTAAGTCGTGTGCCGTCCACGCTCACCGCACCATGCGGAGATAACTACTACAACGGGAGCTAGACTACGGGCTAGGCACGTGGCTTGAGTGATCTCTGCGTTCGTTCGTTCCTTAGTCGTTTCCAAGTGCTCACACTACTTGCTAGTTCACGGGGGGAAATTGGCAAGAGTTTCACTAGGAAAAGTTGAAAAGATTGATATAATGAAGTTGGCAAGACAAGACTACATCAGAGCTAGCATCAAGCGGGACGACTGCCAGCGCAGCACGGTCGACCGCGTTCCAGCACGACTTGGTCGACCGCGCTCCAGCAGTGCACAGGCGACGGTGTGCCAACGCTGCAGGTCGACGGGGTATAGCATTGCTCCTGCATGACAGCAGTGCACCTACTTCGCAGGTGCTCGCAGGTGATTGGCGTGTTGTGCCTTGTCACCTGCACAGCGCACACACCAAATCAACCTTGTGCTGACGAATGCATCAGATCAGCCATTTGACCTCGGGATACCACCACCGAGGTCGGTCTCGCCATGAACAACTGGGCGACCGCCGCGTGCCTCCGCAGAACATTGTTACTCAGGTAACCTGGTCGACCGGGCAACCACATCGACCAGATGCTCCTTCACGTGCCCGTCGACCACCCAAGTCGACGACCACTTCTGGTCGACCTCACCAGGTCAAAGACACTCCTTGTCAACCAGCATCCCTGTCAGCCAACATTGAAAACCACCCTAGCCCTGCAAGTGTACCTAAGGGGCCGGGGATTCCGCGATATACACACACTCGCGTAGTGGAGGGGGCTTCTTGAGGGGAAGAGAGAGGGGGGGGGAGGGGGGGGGGGGGGGGGAGGGGGTAGTGTAAGGAATTTTCTCGCCATTCCTTACGGAAACCTGCTACATCGCGTACAGCAGCAGCCGTCGTTCGCCCGTTACTGCTAACGGGGCTTCGCCAACTTTGTGCGCACTGTTTTGCCAAACCACGTACGTACTGCTGGCCCGGCCGCGTCGGCATACTCTTTGGGACTAGCCCGAACCTCACTGCCAGCGTAGCACTAGCTAGCTCGCACGCACCGCGTTACCGTTTGCATGTTTCGCGTATAAATGTTCGCTCATGCCTTCGCTCACATTTTGTACTCATTTGACACCTTAGTGCAATCCTCGCTACCTCGTAACAACCATTCACAATACACAGGTTTGGAGAGTGTTACACATTTGATATTAAGATAAGATGGAAATACTAGAAATAATTTTGATGGCAATACAATACAATCTCACCATCCTGGCGGACGAATAGCAGAATCGGTTAGCATCGTATGCTGGGAGGGTGAGACCGTCAGCCATGGCCAGCAAGCCTTCACGCCGCGCTCAGCTTCGCGGCGCCGCGAGTGCGCCCCCCAGTGAAGGCACCGCGGGAGCAGCGCTTCCGCCTTCGCTGTTCGCTAAGGGCCCCTTCCCCTTCCGCGCTGCCCTCCTCGCCTCCGCCGCCCCCGACTCGCTTCCGCCAGGCCCTAGCGGGGCAGCGCAGCCGGCGGGCGTCGAGACGGCGGACGGCGGTCGCACTGTCACCGCTCGCTGCGCCGAGGGCGCGGAGGGGAGGGGCGAGAGTGAAGGCAGCGACGGGTTGGGCGGTCCGAGGCGAGGGCTGACGTGTTCGTGTTGCGGGGAGACGTTTGATGACGTGGCAGAACAGCGCGCGCACTTCAAGAGCGACTGGCACCGCCTCAACGTGCGCCGCCCTGCTGTGCCGCCGTGCCCCTTGCCCCCATGCCCCTTATTCTTGCCCCCATGCCCCCATCATGCCTCCATGCCACTATGACCCCACCTTCGTTTCCGTTCCTTCCCACTCTTCTCCAATTCTCTTTTCCTCCGCTGCCCCTTCCCTTCCCTCCTCTCCTCGTGCCCTCCTCGTCTCTCCCCTCCTCCCCCCCCAACCAGGTCAAGCGCCGCGCATGTGGGCGCGCAGTGCTGTCAGAGGACGCCTTCGCCGCGCTGCTGGACGCCAGGCGCGCGGGGGAGGGCGGGGGGGAGGCGGAGGGGGAAGGGGGAAGGCGCAGGGGCGGGCAGGGCAGTGCGAATTCCTTGGGCGCTGTTGTGAGGGGCGGGGCGGGCGGGGCAGCGGAGCATCAGGGGGAGGGGGGAGGCGAGGAGGACGATGATTGGTCGAGCATTTCGGGGTCGGAGGACGAGGAGGGAGGGGACGACGCGGACGAGGAGCAGCAGCAGCAAGCGGGGGGGGAGGGCAGGGCGGCAGGGGCGGGGCGGGGGGCGAAGGTGCACTTCGTGCTGCCCAACACGGGCGTCACTTTCGCCCTCTGGCGCGCGCTCTTCCCCCCAGGTGCGCTCTTCCCCCCAGGTGCGCTCTTCCCCCCAGGTGCGCTCTTCCCCCCAGGTGCGCTCTTCCCCCCCCCCGGTACCCACCTCCCCACTGTGCCCACCTGCCACCTCCACGGTTCCCTGCTGTGCCCAACTCCCCCCTTGCTCCCCCTCCTTCCCCGTCCTCCCCTGCCCCGCTGCTCGTCTGTGTCGCCCTGTCCCCCCAGAGGAGGGCGCGGACCTGCTGCAGGCGCTCGTGGCGCTGGGGGAGGGCGCAGGGGGGGCGCACGGGGGAGCACTCAGAGGAGGGGGGGAGGGAAGCGCGGAGGCTGGGGACACGGATGGGGGAAGGAGCAGGAGGGGCGGGGGGGTGGATTCATTGAGGGGCACGGCAGGCGGCGGTGCAGCACAGGTGGAGGCGGGGAGAGGAGGCACGCTGGTGGGGAAGTCGGGGGGGGAGGAGAGGGGCGGCGCGGGGCAAGGGGGGCAGCGCGTGTGGGTGGTGGTGCTGAGCTCGGGCGGGCACTTTGCTGCCGTGGTGCTGGACGCTGCTGCCCACGGCGCCCTGCTCGCCCACCGCTCCTTCCACCGGTGCGCGGGGGAGGGGGAGGGGGGTAAAGTAGTGGGGGGAAAAGGAGAAGGGGGGGCCGTGTGGGGGGAGAGTGTGCTTGGCACAGCTGCATGGGTGGTGGGGCGAGATTGAATTTGAGAGCTGAAGCACAAGGGAATGAGGTGAAGGCGGGGAGGGAGGGGAGTGGTGACCAGGGGCGTGGCTGCCCCTGTCTGCTCCCGTGCCGTCTCCACCCGTCCCTTCCCCTGCCCGCCCTGTCCCCATCAGGTACGTGGTGCGCGCCAAGGCGGGTGGGCGGCAGGCAATGAGGGACGGGGCGGGCAGAGCGCCGCAGTCAGCGGGGGCGAGCCTCAGGCGCTACAACGAGGCGGCGCTTGTCAAGGTGGGTGGGGTGGGGTGCCATGGGGTGGGGTGGGGGGGCCATGCTACGAGGAGGTGATGGCTGTTGCCGTGGCTGCTCACGAGGCTGGTGGGCCTCACCACCCACCATCACTTCTCTCGCCGCCTTGCTTTCGTGTTTTCCTTGCATCCATGCCCTCAACTAACGCCTTCCTTCCCCCCGATTCCTCTTCCTCCCCTCCCCCTTCGCGCCCGCAGGACATCCGCGCCTTGCTGCAGCGGTGGCAGCCCTACCTGTCGCGCGCACAGTTCATCTTCGTGCACGCCACCGCTCCCAACCGCGCTGCACTCTTCGGCACGGCGGCAGAGGCGCATGCGAGTCGGGGCGCAGCAGCGGGGGCGGGGGCGGTGCTGGCGGTGCGCGACCCGCGTGTGCGGCGGGTGCCCTTCCCCGTGCGCCGCCCCACCGTCAAGGAGGCGCTGCGCGTGGCGCACTCGCTGGCGCACGTGCACGTGCTGGGGGGGGCGCGCAGGGCCGAGGGTGGCGCGCACGGGGAGGTGGCGGTGGGTTGTGGGCAGGAGGGCGCGCTGGGTGTGGGTGTGGGTGTGGGTGTGGGTGTGGGTGTGGGTGTGGGTGGCAAAGGGGTGGCGGCAGTGAGCGCGAGGGAGGAGGGCGCAGAGCGCAGCACGGGAGAGGGTGGGGGGCAGGGGGGTGAGAGGGAGGTGGAGGAAAGGTTCCAGGACGCTGAGAGACGAGGTGATGGGAATGTGGAGGTGAAGGGAGATGGGGAAGGGGAGGAGAGAGGAGAGGCGAGTGGGGCAAGTGCAGGGGAGGTGGAGGGGAAGGAGGCAGCGGGGCAAGGATGGGGTAGAACGGCACTCCATGTGGCAGCTGCTGCAGGTGCATGGGTGGGTGGGTGGGTGGGTGGGTGGGTGGGTGGTGGGGAATAGAGGGTGTGTGGAGGAATAGCAGGTGTGGTGTGAGTCTTTTTTTCTTCCTTTCTTTCTTTTGGCTTGTACGACTTTGTCGTACCCTCGGGGTGAGGATTTCACTCCTGTCAGGGAGTGGCGATTCAGCGAGTTGCAAGATGCAGTGGGAGGCTTCAAGGTTGGTCCGCATGGCTCACCATTTCTCCGCATGTCCGCATGGCTCACCATGTGTCCCACCACAAAGGCAAACCGCTGCATGGGCTCTTCTCTTTTTCTCCTCTCCTCTTTGCCCTCTCTCGCCCCACGCCATGCGCGCATGTCACGGTCACGCCCCTCCCGTCCTGGCAGGCAACCACGCGGAGGTGACTCGGCTGCTGCAGCAGGGCAGCGACCCCACGCAGCGGGACGGCAGGGGACGAGTGGCGTACGTGGTGGCGGCTAACAAGGCCACGCGGGACGCCTTCCGTCGCCACATGGCGGCGCACCCAGCCCAGTGGGACTGGCACGCCGCTGCCGTGCCCTCCGCGCTCACTCAAGAGCTCGAGGCCTCCCAGGCCGCCCGCCAGGTGGGGAAGAAGATTGTGGGGGGGAGGGCTGAGAGGAGAGCAGTGCGGTGGTTGAGGCTCTCAAGGGTAGGATTGGAAGCCTGGTAGCTGTAAGATGAGTCGAGGAGAAACAAGAGAGAACAAAGTCGTCCACATTCAACCTCGACTTTACTAGAGTACGTTGAGCGCAGGTGAAAAGCAAGAATTGTACTCAAGTGACCTTAGATTGGGTAGAGTCAGTGCCTGGTACGATGACCATAGTGTCATGCTGTCGCCACCCACTATGCCACATGCCCCATGCCATACCCCATATCCCCTGCCCCATGCCCCATGCCCCGTACCCATACCCCACCCCATTCCCCATCCCCCATTTCCCGTACCCATACCCCATTCCCCAAACCCCATCCCCCATTCCCCATGCGCCATTCCCCATGCTACGCACTGCTCGTCGCATGCCATGATGCATCGGCCTCGCTCTCACCCCATTCCATGATGCATCGGCCTCGCTCTCACCCCATGCCATGATGCATCGGCCTCGCTCTCACCGGAAAGCACCTTCGCTCTCACCCCATGCCATGATGCATCGGCCTCGCTCTCACCCCATTCCATGATGCATGGTGGGGATGCAGGCGGACAAGGAAGCAAAGAAGAAAGCAAAGGAGAAGGAGAGGAGGCAGAGGAAGAAGCAGGAGGAGAGGGAGCGCAAGGTGGGCATGGGGAGGGAGGGAATGCTTAGTGGTCTGAATCACACACTTTTTAGGCGGGATAGATGGCGGGGAGGGTTGCTCCACGTGGTGGGTTGCTCCACGTGATGGGTTGCTCCACGTGATGGGTTGCTCCACGTGATGGGTTGCTGGTGGGTTGCTCGTCCCTTAAACCTCATCCCTGTGTCTCTTCCTTCCTCCATCCTCATCCGTGCCCTTCTCTCCAGTCCTTGCAACGCATCTCTCTCTGTGCAACCTGTCCTCGCCCTCACCCCCCCACACCAACCCCGTGCCCCGAGCAGCAGCAAGCCCTCCACCAGTGCGCGCCATCAGCGCCATCGAGGGCCCCCGCATTGCCTGCAGAGACGGTAAGCCGCATGCCTCTGTGCTGCCTTCCTCTCCCTCTCTGCGTGCTTCCCTTCGCCCTCCACGTGCTCCACCCGCACGTGCTCCACCCGCACGTGCTCCACCCGCACGTGCTCCACCCGCACGTGCTCCACCCGCACGTGCTCCACCCGCACGTGCTCCACCCGCACGTGCTCCACCCGCACGTGCTCCACCCGCACGTGCTCCACCCGCACGTGCTCCTCCCGCACGTGCTCCACCCGCACGTGCTCCACCCGCACGTGCTCCACCCGCACGTGCTCCACCCGCACGTGCTCCACCCGCACGTGCTCCACCCGCACGTGCTCCACCCGCACGTGCTCCACCCGCACGTGCTCCACCCGCACGTGCTCCACCCGCACGTGCTCCACCCGCACGTGCTCCACCCGCACGTGCTCCACCCGCACGTGCTCCACCCGCACGTGCTCCACCCGCACGTGCTCCACCCGCACGTGCTCCACCCGCACGTGCTCCACCCGCACGTGCTCCACCCGCACGTGCTCCACCCGCACGTGCTCCACCCGCACGTGCTCCACCCGCACGTGCTCCACCCGCACGTGCTCCACCCGCACGTGCTCCACCCGCACGTGCTCCACCCGCACGTGCTCCACCCGCACGTGCTCCACCCGCACGTGCTCCACCCGCACGTGCTCCACCCGCACGTGCTCCACCCGCACGTGCTCCACCTGCACGTGCTCCACCCGCACGTGCTCCACCCGCACGTGCTCCACCCGCACGTGCTCCACCCGCACGTGCTCCACCCGCACGTGCTCCACCCGCACGTGCTCCACCCGCACGTGCTCCACCCGCACGTGCTCCACCCGCACGTGCTCCACCCGCACGTGCTCCACCCGCACGTGCTCCACCCGCACGTGCTCCACCCGCACGTGCTCCACCCGCACGTGCTCCACCCGCACGTGCTCCACCCGCACGTGCTCCACCCGCACGTGCTCCACCCGCACGTGCTCCACCTGCACGTGCTCCAGTCACCGTGTCGCCTTGAGTCTAACCTCTGCCTGCTCAAGCCTCCTGCTGCCACTCATGCAAATGCTGCCAATGTTGCTCACCCTCGCTGGCTTGTTGACGCGCCTGCACTCATGAACCGTGCCTGTGCTGTGTGGTGAGCAGGAGGAGCAGAGGAGGGCGAGGGAGAGGGAGGAGAGGGCAGCAGCGGCGGAGAGGCGTCTGCAGCAGCTGGCAGGGGGCACCGCTGCGCCTGCCACGGCCCACCATGCGTCCCCCGCCAGCACTGCTGCAAGCAGCTGCTGCGACTCGTGCGGTGCATCGCTGGCAGGCAGGACGCCCTTCTCCCGCCTCGCCTTCCAGTACTGCACCACTGCGTGCGTGCGCGCCCACAGGATTATTCTTGAAAACCTGTAGCCTCTCATCTTCTGCGGTTTCTTGATGAAATCTCATGCTGTGCAGAATACCGGTAAGATTCATGATCTATCACTGTAAAATATGTGGTAGAAATACTGGAAATCATTGCAAGTGCTCTCCATCTTCTCAGGCCCACATGCACTTGAAAACTGTGCACCAGTTTGGCAACCGTTATGAGTACAGAATACGGAAGATATTGTCATTCACGAATTTCTGAGTCAACACTACGGCAAGCCAACATCAGGTGGCTTTTCCTCCTCTGCGGGTCTACCATACTTGAAGATAAGTGGAGGAGGCACAGAGGTGTGAGGGCGAAGGGCTGATTGAGGCACTTGGATGAGCGGATGAGGCGTGTGCAACAGCCTACAGGCATGAGTGAATCAGCCAAGGTAGCCAGGCCACTGAAGGTAGCCAGGCCACTGGTCGGGATACAAGAGTTGCATGAGTTGATGGGTTGATGGTGCTCTTTTTTCTCTCTCTCGAAGCTCAATGATGATGTAATAATATGAACAAGACTAATAAAAACCTTACAATGCCTTTTATTTTCCCAGAATGCGCAGCCCTAACAAACAACCCTGGGCAGAGCTCCTAGGAGGGCAACAACTAGCCCCAGGCATAGCTAATCCGCAAGTTTCCGACCCGCCAGCCGCCTGTGCCATATCATGAATGATTGGCTTACGCTTGGCCTTTGCCGTTGTTCCAGTTGACGGAGTGGGCCTTGTCGTAAGCCGCCGAGTCCGCTTCCGCCTGGTCCGCAGCAGCTTTGAGCGCGTCGGACCTCGCCTTCTTATTTTTGTAGATGATTTCGGCCTGAGCGCGAGCGGAAGCAGCCTGCCCGAGTGCCACCTTGTTATCCTTCGCGACCTTAGCTGCGTTTAGCGTCTTCACCTTGACGTCGGCGGTGAGCTGGTTGATAACAGCGGGCAGCGTCTTCATGTCGTTCATGTATTTGATGTACGTGGCTTCCGCGTCTGCCGCGTCCTTCTTCGCCTTGTTCAGGTCGCCCACGTGATCTGCCACTGCCTTCTTAGTGTCGACCTTGTCCTTCAACGCGAACGCCAAGTCGGCCTGCATCGACTCCAAGACATCCTTCGCGAGCGCCACCTGCCTCGCAAGCGCCCCCTGGATGCGATTCGCCCGAGCACGGGTTAACTGCGCTTCGGCGGCCTCTGCCTGCGCCTCTGGAGTCTTGAGCTTCGCGGCGCGTCGCGCGTAGTAGGTGGAATCGGCGGTGGCCTCCTGGGCGATGAGGATCTGGTCGGCGAGGAGCTGGTTGGCGAGGTCCAGGTGCTCCTGCGCGGGGACGAGGTCCTTTTGCAGCTCTGCCGCGTCGATGTCCGACTCCTTCGCCTGCTGCTCAAGCTCGTCGTGGTAGTCCTGCTCCGCCTTCCTCGCTGCTCGTTGCCTTATCATCTCCTGACGTGCTGGCTCAGCCTTGACCTTCGCGTCGTCCAGCTGCTTCTTCTTAGCCGTGAGATTCGTCTGGGCATTATTCAAATCAGCGTTCGCGTCGTCAATGATCTTCTGAATTGCAGCCTCCGCGTTGAGCTTGTTGTTGTAATCCGCCAGCGCTGCATTCGTCACCGCTTCCGCGTCGTTGGCAGCCTTTCGGGCCGCCTGCGCCTTGATCGCCAAGTACGACTGGGCATCCGCTCCTGATATATTTGGCACGAGAAGAACAGAAACGAGAACCAAAGCCAAGAATGGAATGTAGAGCCTAGCCATAGCTTGATGTCTGAGGGTTGAAGTGAGGAAAGGATTGATTGAAGCTGTTGATTGTTTGGTGATGATGGATGTGACGGGCTGGGGAAATATATCGAGTTGATTGGGATTCACTCTCTCGCACGAGCTCAGTCTGGTGGGGGGTTGGAAATTCATCAATTTTCGCGGCTCGCAGTTGCGCGCTTCGGTTTGGATTTACAAGACCTGCATGCGCGCCTCGTGCTCCTCCCCCAAATCCTCCCCAAGTTCGCAACGCTGAGGTCCACAGGGTACATTCACGACTTCGACTGTCGTATACCTCAGCCAATGCACGCAAATCCGCTCTGCCCATCCGCTTTTGCCTCCCCGATTGCAATTCAGCATGGCCAGTTGTCCACAGGATACAAGCCCCTATTTTCATCACAACCGTTAATCCCACAGCTTATTTTGGTGAGATCCGTCCCTTTATGATATATTTTCGAAATGTCAATACCATTTTTTTTTCTTCCCCACTACAGTCCCAACTCTCCCTATTGCGAAGTCGGGCGAGGCAGGCGAAGAACATGCCCGCACACCTGCACTTCCCCAATCAACACCTGCCGTAGCCCACCGCACCCTAGTGCCAGTCTCGCTTTCCCAACAAACAAAGCCCAGCCAGCTTCCCTGTTGCGCATCACCTCCCCCAAGCTCATCACAGCGCGTCAACCAACGTCGGTGCTCCTGTGTGTTACAAGCTCCAATGGACCTACAGCGAGACTCGCCTGCCCAACCCACAAAGAACACTGTTACGAGTGGAATTGAGTGAACTAACAAAGATAATCTAAGCCAAATAGTACATTTGTGAAAAACAATCCATTTTCCTTACTTCCGCGCCTGTGCTTATTGATAAGCATAGTCTGAAAAACACCTGCTGTTTACATACAATAGTATTTACTACCAATCAAGTCACTTCTTTATGGGTTGAACCGCAAGTATTGTTCTCACTGAGTGCCCATTACCATCGGCCCATGTTAGGCTTCCAAACTGGAAGCTCTCAAACGTATTAATCACTTTGAAGGTCACCATGAAAGTTACCCTTTTACCAGGAGCAATTGTAAATCTGTTGGGTGAAACCGTGATGGAGACTCCATTAGGAGGCTTGATGCTAGCTGTATATGTGGAGGAGGAATCAGCAACGTTGGTAACTGTCCTGTTTGCTGTCACTGTCCCTTTTAATCGGGAGATTGAGATACTTGGACGGTTCAACTCACGAGGAGCCCTCGCAGTCAGCTTAGCACCTGGGAAGTGCTTCCGTGCCTGCTTCATACTCTGCCCGGCTAGAAAATTCCGATAAGCACCTGCCCGGGCGTCGTATGTAAGGCCAGGATTCAGCACCTTGGGTGGGAACACATGGCCAGACCCCATCTCCCACGGCGTAGCAGCCTCACCATACCCATTATCGATGGCAGCACCGCTGGTGTCAGTGGTCTTGGCGGTGGTCATAATGGCGGACATGACCTGTGCGGGGCTCCACGAGGGGTGCTTCTGCATGATGAGAGCCGCAATGCCCGCCAAGTGAGGCGTTGACATGGACGTCCCCGAGAGCTGGGCGTAGCTGCCCGGCCTGCCCACCTTCTCAGCTGGCCATGCTGCATAGAGATCCACGCCCGGGCCCACAATGTCGGGCTTTAAGATGCTGTTGGTGGGAAGAGTGGCGGGGGCGTCAGTGGAAGGGCCCCTGAGGGGACCGGTGGAGGAGAAATCAGCCACGGCAGGGTAGGCCGTGGCTGCAGGGGCCGTTGATGAGTTGCTGAGAGGTGCGCCTGCTGGTGTAGCGGCCTTCAGGGTTATACCACCTCGGCCAATGGTGCTGCAAGAGGATGAGGGAGCAGAGAAAAGGAGAAGGGCAGGTGGAATGAGAGGGGGTTTTTGATTGTGGACGATTACTTTGAGCAAGGAGTCGTCGTGGCAAGGGATGTTGAGCAGCGAGGTGAGGAGAAGCTGCTCGCTGGGTACATCCGGCGCAAACCCGGGTGCAGGTACTCGCCCATCCGCTCACCTTGCCCCCACTGTGAGGTAGAACGGGGAGAAGTTCTCAATCGTGCGGTAACCGCTTGGGTCATAGCCAGGAGCGCCACCGTTGCCTGCCGCAAACGCCACGAGCACCCCCGCGAGGTTAGCAGCGAGGTAGGGCATGTGGGAGAAGTAGGTTTCTCTCGGATCCACCCCTCCCAGCGAGAGAGAGAGGGTGTCCACGCCGTCCGCCACGGCCTGGTTGACGGCCGCCTCCACGTCCGCCTGCACGCCAAAGAAGGAGCCCTCGGCGTACCAGATAACCTTGTACACTGCCAGGCGCGCAGCCGGCGCCATGCCGCTCGCCCTGCCTCCCGCCATGGGCACGTCCTTGTTGCCCACTGCTGCGCTGCAGTGGAGAAGGAGTGGAGGGAGAGAAAAAGGATGGAAGGGGGGAGAAGGGGGTGGGGGTGGGTGGGAATGGTTGGGAAGAAGAGAATATAATTCTGTGTCAGCACAACCGTCTCATCAGCTCTCACAAGTGGGGAGGGGAGGCACGGCGTTATCCTGTGGAAAGCCCAGCCTTGAAGCATCTTAAAACCCAGGCGGAAGCCACGTGCAGTGGAAAGTGAAGAGAGAAAGGTGAGGGGGAGAAGGAGAAGGGAGGGGGAAGGCAGTTTGCGGGGGCATCAGGAGTATACCAGTGCTAATTGTTCCAAAATCCACATGAAGTTTCAGCACATGCCCTGCACATCACATGTCCTTCACACCGCATACCCTGCACACCACGTACCCTGCACACCACGTACCCTGCACACCACGTACCCTGCACACCACGTGCCATGGCCATACGAATCGCGAGGCGACAGCCAGTCTTTCGACAGGTCGGGCCCACCGGTGTCCTCCTTAAAGCCCTTGTAGAACCCGCGCGCGCCAATGACCTTGTTGTTGCACTTGAACTCGCTCGTCGTGTCGCACTTGCCCGACCAGCCAGCGGGGCGCGAGGAGGGGAAGCCGGCGTTGCTGAAGGAGGGGTGTTCGGGCCACACGCCCGAGTCCACCACGCCCACCACCATGCCCTCGCCCGCCCTCGCCTGCCCGCCGTTCGCGGGCCACAGCGACCCGGGGGCGCGCATGGCGAGGAAGGTGGGGGAGTCGATGGTGAGCGGCGTGACTCTGCGGCTGCGCGTCACTGCCGCCACTGCCGGGTGCCGCTGCAGCCGCCAAGCCTGCTGCGGGGTGAGGGTGGCTGCGAACCCGTTGCTCGCGTGCATGTAGCTGGGGGAGGGGGGAGAGTGGGGGTGAAGGGGGTTATAAGAGATGGAGGAAGTGATGGGATCGAGGGCTTTCGGTACGGAATCGAGGGGGACAGTTTGATCATGGAAAGTTGTTGTAGGTTTCCATGATCATCTTGGTTTAGGGTGACTTGCGCCCCAAAGCCTTTGATTTCGCACCTAGGTGCGGTGGTTGATCTGGGTAACCATGTAACGAAGGCTCTCAAACATGCGAGCTGCTCTAGTTTCGGCCCTACTAGAGACAATCTTAACCACGTACTTGTACACAATGCGGTCTGACGTCACGCCCACATCAGACGCGATTCGCGTCTGCTGCGCCTCGAGCATCTGCGCGTACGCCTTGAGCTGCGGGTTCTCCATGCTCAGCCGCGCGCGCCGCGGAATTCTGCCGGACAGCGTCGCCGCCTCTTGCGCAACCGTCTCCACCGTCGCCTGCAGACCAGACGGACCGGTAGATTCGTCGTCGTCGTCGTCCATCCATCCCGGGAAGCTCGCTATTCCGCCCCGATACGCGGCGAGGGGAAGGGCGGAGCGCAGCCGCACGATATAGAGTGACGTGGACTTGGAGGAGGGCGCTGCGGTCGGCGCAGGATGGGGGGAGAGACGAGCGAGGAATGAGATTAAGCGAGATAGGAACGAGGGGGTGTGACGACGACGACTGCCTCGGGAGATTATTATTGCGAGCAGTCGAACCGGATGTAGGTCACGAGATCAATTCAGGCAGGAGCAAGGACGGCGTGACGTGACTTACTACGGTGAGGTCGAATGGCGAGGCATTGACACGCGAATGAAAGGAGAAGCGCGATAACGAGGAGGGATCTGCATCTGCCCGTCATTGGTGGCGGATCAAGCCGGAGTGCGGGCGTGAGGCTCGAGGCTTGGGAGAGGCGGAGCCGCTGCTAATGCCACTATATGTTAACCTAACAGGTTTCAACTTGCGAAGCTAGGTTAGATGGCGAGCGCGTGAACAGCCACAGTTGCGTAAAATATTCGAAGCAGATGGCGGACAACCCGGCGTGCAGAAGGCCAAAGTATAACGCTTTTGAAGTAGCGAGCGCGCCTAACTGTGAAAGCAGCACAACAGAGAATGCAATTATTGTGTGCAAGCAAAAATGCTGAGCGATGAAACCCCAAAAGCAGCCGTGTTGCGCCGGCGCGCTTGAACATCGCCAAATATTGGCGACGGACATTTGACTGAGACGAAGCCGCGTTGTTACCTTCAATACCATCCATGGAGCTTCGCAACCCGGCGTGGCGAGGCGCGTGTGTGCTGGAACTGGATTGACTTGAATTTGGCCCTCAATCGCCCGGACGGGCAACTTCAGTATTGACAAATTCGTTACTGTACAATCGTTTGTGTTGTTGGTGAGCTGTGACTAGTCCCTCAGAACAATGCCTTTGTTCTTCACATAAGGCATGTTCCAATATAACACAGTATTATAGTACAGAGGGTTGGGAGGGCAAACAGGGCCTTCAACCATCTGTGATTTCTCTAATGTGTACCGTTACACTAATATTATATTGTCACTTTGGAAAGCCCACTCTACCCTCCATAAACTTTCACTGCCTTCTACCCTACTAAAGGCTCCAATCTAATGTATGAATGCCACGTCTCAAGAATGCACTTGAAGAACAGAATGGAAGTGACTCACTCCCACATTTCCTATGAACAAGAAATCTCTCGGCATGTGCTTGTGCGCCTTAACCTAGATCGCAAGAGAGGCGGAGCAACACTGATTACTGTGCAGGGCTAGCGAGGTTGAGTGGACGATGAAACAGGTGGGCGGTAGAGCGGTTGAGCGGGTCAAAGACTGCGGTAATCGATGACCGTGACCTCGTCATCCGGTGCATCCAAGTCGCGATAGCTGTGTGCACACAGGGGGGGGGCAGAGAGGAGAGAGAGAGGGACACACACTTCTTGCAGCAGCGTGACTGGCATGGCATGGTTCAAGCTGCAGAGCAGACAACAGTCACACATGAGTCATCACCCATGCACCCACACCACCATACCTCCATGCACCCACACCACCATACCTCCATGCACCCACACCACCATACCTCCATCCACACATGCCACCATACCTGCGCATGCCACCGTACCTGCGCATGCCACCGTACCTGCGCATGCCGCGGGGGTCATGAGGAGGCCCGCCCATCATGGGCATCATTCCCATCGGTCCCATGCCCATGCCCATGCCCATGCCCATGCCCATGCCCATGCCTCTCATCCCCATGCCCATCCCCCCAAACCTCCCCGGACTGCCATACGGCCCCTCCCGCCCCCCTCTTGCCCTCCCCCCTCCCCCGTCCCTCCCCCCTGCCCCTGCTCTCCCCCGTGCTGCCTCCCCTCGCGCCCCTCCCCCGCCTCCCGAGGGGGGAGGGGGGGAGCGCCCCTCCTCTCCACCAGGAGCAGGGCCCGCGGGCCCGGAAGCGGGGGGAAGGGGGGCGTCAGGGGGCAGGTCCAGGGGCGGCCCGTCGAAGGGTGGCGGGGGGGGCGGGCCGTCGAAGCCGTCAAAGAGCGAGGGCGGCGGGCGGAAGGAGGGGTCCCTCAGTATGCGCGCTGCCAGATCTGGTGGGGCTGGCAGGAACGGTCCCAGCGGGCTGTGCGGCAGGGGTAGCGGGGTGACGGGCGGGGGGAGAGGGGAAGGGGGGAAAAGCGAGAGCGGAGGGGGGGAGAGGGGGGAGAAGGAAAAGGGAGGGGGAAAGAGAGGAGGAGGAGATGAGAAGGAGGAAGGGGGAGGTGAGGTGAGCAGAAAGCAGAGGCGTGTGATAGCGATGGTGCAGCATGAAGCTACTGTTGTGTTGCGACAGCCACTTCAACTCCCTTTGCTCCACTCAACCATTCCACCAACCGCTCCCACCCGTCCCCACCACCCACCCACAACTAAACCCCCCCTCTCCACATGTCCCTCCCCCTCGCCCCCCATCCCCCAGCACCTCGCCCCCCATCCCCCAGCACCTCGCCCCCCATCCCCCAGCACCTCGCCCCCCATCCCCCAGCACCTCGCCCCCCATCCCCCAGCACCTCGTCCCCCCCAGCGGCACTCACCCGGCACCGGGCACGGGGATGAGCACGGGCGGCAGCGGCGCCCCAAACGGCCCCCCTGGGGCGGCGGGTGGGCGTCGTGCCATGTGCGGCGGCATGGGCGGCCCAAAGGGCGGCAGGGGGGGCGGTGGGCCGTCAAACACGTCAAACACAGGCGGCCCCTCCACAGGCCCGCCCGGGCCGCCCATCAGCATGGGCGGGGGGGGACCCTCCAGGTGCGGCCCCCTGTCGTCAAACATCCCCCCGCCTCCCCCCGGTCCCATGAACTCCCCTCCCCCGCCCCCATCGAACCTCTCCATTGCCTCCGGCCCCTCCTCCCGCCCCCTCTGCTCGTACCGCTCCCCCTCGCCCGCGCGCCCCCTGCCCCCCCGGCGGTCAAACACTTCCCCCTCGTACCGCGCCCCGCGCTCCCCGGGGAAGGGCTCGCCAGCATCAGGGGGAGCGCCCATGGGGGGAGGGGGGCCGGCAGCAGGGCGGTCAAAGGGCGGGGGGCGGTCAAAGCGGTCGGGGGGGAAGGCATAGGGGTCGGGGGGAGGGGGCAGGCGCGCACCCAGGCGGGCCGACATGGGCACCGGCGAGTGGCCGTGGCCCCCCCTCTCCCTCTCCCTCTCCCGCTCCCTGTCCCTCTCCCTGTCCTCCCTTCCCCGGACAGGGGCGTTGGGGTCGCTGCATGGTGGGGACGGTGAGGGGAGGGGCGAAAGCGAATGAGAGGGGAGACAAAGAGGAGTGAATGGGCAGCAAGAGGCAACATAGCGAGACAAGACAGACACATGCCCCTCTTCGACTGCACTCAAACGTCATTCAGTCCGTGACACCCACACACCCACCCATCCCGTCACCGCGTCCGTGTCACCGCGTCTGTGTCACCGCACGCACACCCTGCTTGCCGCACACCGTGCTCAGTGCATGCCCTTCGCCCAGCCCCCCCCTCACCGCATGCACGGCTCACCGCATGTAGTTGTCTTCATAGACGTCCTCCTTGATGCGGTTTGTCTGCTCCGCCACCAGGTCGGGGTGCTTGAGTTTGAGGTGCTTCACCACGAACTCAGGCCCGTGGAACAGCTTGGAGCACCCGGGCGCACTGCACCCGTACTTCCACCCGTACTTGTCGTCCTTGATCTTCCTCACCATGCCCTCCATGGCCGCGCCCATGCGCGCCTCCACGCGGGCCTTGCCCACCAGCGCCACCACCGGGTCCTCCCCCTCCGCCCCCACGCGCACCCGCCACACCTCATCCACCCGCCGCGCCCACGCCTCAAACCCCTCCCCACCGTCCCCTCCCCCTGCGCCGTCCCCCTTGCCCTCCTCGCCCTCATCAGCGCACACGTGTCGGAGCCCCTTGGGCAGCCCGCGCAGCTCCGTGCCCCCGTAGTAGTCCGCCCCGTGCACGCGCCACAGGTACGTCAGCACCGCGTCCAGCAGTCCCACGCCCGCCAGCCACCGCGCCTCCCCCGCGCCCTCCCCCGCGGGCACGCGGATCTTCACCGCCTCGTCCTCCGCGCCCGCCTGGTTCTCCCCCAGCAGAAAATTCCCCCCTTCCGCGCCCCCCTGCGCGCCCCCCTGCTTGCCCCAGAGCCCCTTCTCCTGGTCCAGCTTGGCCACGAGCGCCAGCGCCCTCGCCAGGTCGTGCGCCACGCGGGCCGGCTGCCCCGCCCCTGCTGGGACGCGCGGCGCGGCAGCGGTGGCGGTGGCGGCGTCGTGGGCCAGCGACGGGCGGAAGGAGGCGCTGCGACGACGCGCGTCCGTTGCTGCTAGCGGGTCACGCGGATCCGCGTAGGGGCCGCTGGAATAGTGGGGGGAGGTTTGGGATCGGGAGAGAGTCCACGAGGGGAGCAAGGAGCGAGGGAGGGAAGCGGTGAAGGGAGGAGAGAGAAGGCAAGGCGTGGGGTGACGAGGTGACACTACGACGCAAGAGGGAAGTGAGTGGCGGATGGAGGGAGGGAGGGAGGTGAAGCGAGAATAAAGATACACAGGATGGCGAAGTAGGGCAAGTAACAGAGCATGGAAACGAGTGCACGAGAGTGGAGGGCGCGGGTGCAAGGAAGAGAAAGGAAAGGTGGTGAGGCAGTGAGGCACTGACAGGTCGGCGTCGCCCCGCTGCAGGCTTTCAAGAAACTGCTTGCTCTCCAGCTGCGCGAACTCAATGCGCCTGATGAGAGGCACAGCACACCGCACACAGCACACATGCACACATGCACACAGCACACATGCACACATGCACACAGCACACAGCACACAGCACACAGCACACAGCACACAGCACACAGCACACAGCACACAGCACACAGCACACAGCACACAGCACACAGCACACAGCACACATGCATGCACCCACACCCACACCCACACCCACACCCACACCCACAGCCACAGCACCACAACCACAGCGACACATGCAGCACGGGGTCAGAGAGTGACGGCACATGAGGGAATCAGTGCAGCAGATCAGAAATGCAGGGATAGGGAATACGGGGAAGGGGAAAGAAGAGGGGGGAGATGGCAGCAGTGGGCAGAGCAAGGCAACACTGGCAGACCGCGAGGTTGATTGCCGGTTTGCAGGAAATTGGAGCACTGGTACAGCGGTGATGCAGAGATAGAGCATGCATGGCGTTGGCAAGAGCGAGCAGGCAGCGCAGTGCGCTCACCTGTCCACAAGGCTCTCAAGGCGAGCAGGGTCGTAGAGCGCTCGCAGCCTGGTGCACAGACGCCACGCCACACCACGCACAGGGGGGGGGGGACGGAGCGGGCGAAGTGGGGTGGGGAGGGAAAAGGGGAATCCGGGTTGCGGTGAGAATAATCAGAGGCGAGTCGTGGCGGCAGGATGGTGCAGGCAACGTGGTGGTGAGCGATGGTGCAGGTGCGCTCTTGCGAGCGAATACTTGAACACAAATCTTGCGGAGCGCCTCACCACTAAAGTGCAAGCAATTCCTCTTCCCAGCCATAGCTGTCACGCCATTCCATCTCCCTTACCAGAGACTTTCCCTCTACTTCCACATTCACCTCCCCAAAAATCGGTCCAAATCTACCAAAAACGAACAAGAAAAAGGCCAAAATGCCATGGAAGGTGATAACTTACCACTCCTCGTTCCTGTGGTCGTGGAAAAACGCCTTCTTCTGCGCCGCGACAAACTTGGTCTTGTATTCCAGGTACCTGGTTGGGGGGGGGAAGACGGAGGGGGTGAGGAGGGACAGGGATACGGTGGAAAAGGGGGGACGGCAAGTAGTGCAGCGCATGAGAGGCTAACAGGGGGCGCAGCAGCAGCAGACGGCAGAGCACAAGGCATGAAATATGCTTTTTTTTTTAAGGAGCATGTGTGCTCGCACCTCTTCTCGGCGTCAGCGGGTGACACGTCATCGTCCAGGTCAGCAATGAACTGCTTGTAGGTGAGCGGCCCGTCCGCTGGCGGTGGCCTGCTGTGACGCACACACAGGCACACACGGGGGCACACGGGGGCACACGGGGGCACACGGGGGCACACAAGGGGGCACACGGGGGCACACGGGGGCACACGGGGGCGCACGGGGGCACACGGGGGCGCATGGGGGCGCACGGGGGCACACGGGGGCGCATGGGGGCGCACGGGCACATGGGGGCACATGAGGGTGTGGTGGTGATGAGTGGGGAGAGAGACGGCCGTGGGAGAAGGAGGCAGCAGGAGGGGAAGAGAAGGGCAAGGAGCAGCAGCGCAAGCGATGATGGTAAGCGCACAGCACAGCACAGCACGGCACGGAGGGCAGTGAGGCAAGGCGCGGCGCCATGTGAGGATGGAGGGACGAAGCAGCTGTGCCCACCAGCACCGCGTGGGTGCCCACCAGCACCGCGTGGGTGCCCACCAGCACCGCGTGGGTGCGCACTCCACGCCACTGCCATCGCCACCCCGCCCACCCACTCACCCATCCATCCACCCACTCACCCCACCACCCCACCCCATTCCACCACCCCACCCCACCCCACCACCCCACGACCCCACCACGCCACCACGCCACCACGTCACCTGCGGGGAGGCCCGTCGGTGGGCGGGTAGTGCGGCGGGTACATGGGGGGAGGCGGGGGCCCGCCGCCACCTGGCAGCATGTCATAGGCTGACGGCCGCCTGTAGCGATCAGCGCCTGGTGGGAGCAGTGGCGGGCAGAGGGGCGCGGAGGGACGCGTAGGCGGCAAGTGAGCGGGCAAGAGGGGGCGAGGGAGATCCCGGCAGCAGATATGGCAGGGGATGCGGCGGGTGGTGGGGCAGGCGGGTGGAACATACCTCCAATCTAGTAACCCCAATGCCACACCTCGTTTGCCGAGCTTCCACTCCCATACCTCCACTCCCGTGCCTCCACTCCCGTACCTCCACACATGTACCTCCACTCCCATAAGTCCACGTACCTGGCGGGGGCCCGGGAGGGCCGGGCAGGCGCGCATAGGGATCGTCGGGGGCGAACGGCGGCATGGCGCGAGGCGCGTCGTAGGGGTGCCTGCTGTGGGGCGAGCAGGGCGGGAGAGGAAGAGAGAGAAGAGGCGGCGAATAGGGTGATTGAAGGCAGCGACGATGATTGCAGAGAGTCGCAGATGGGAGTGGCGGAGGACGCGCGTGCAAGGGGACGCGCATGTGCTTCCATTAGCAAGGGGAGATGCGTGGTAGTGAGGGGAGATGCGCGAAGTGAGGGGAGATGCGCGGAAGTGTAAGGAGATGCGCGATGCACGCGCGGAAGTGATGGGAGATGCGTGGAATTGAAGGAGATGCGCGGCAGCGAGGGGAGAGCGGAGTAGGTGCAAGGAAAGCGGAGCAGGTGCAAGGAGAGCGGAGTAGGTGCAAGGAAAGCGGAGCAGGTGCAAGGAGAGCGGAGTAGGTGCAAGGAAAGCGGAGCAGGTGCAAGGGAGGAAGGCAATGGGAATGCCAGGATCCGACTTGCCTCCAGCAGACGAGTCGCCGCCACCGACAGCATCACCAGCAGCGCCGCGTTGCCACACTCGCTCGGTGCGACGCGTGCCACTTGCAGCAAGTGCGCTAATCCTACTCCTACTGGCTACTCCTACTCCTACTGAGACTTGATGGGCGCGCTAACACTGCTATGCTCTGTCTACGCTAGTCGCACTCAACAGCAAGAGACTTTACAGGCGCGGTGCCAGACGGAAGCGATTTGAACGGCTGAGAGGCGAGAGGGACGTGCGACGTGAAATTGACGGGCGAGAGGCGAGCGGCGAGAGGCGTATCTGGAAAGACTGCGAAAGTCTGGATTGCGAACTACGAAAGAGACTGGAGGATGAACGAAATACGCGAAATCAAACATTAGCGCAGAGCTTCGTAGAGGGAAACCATGCTCCTGCGCCGGCGGAGCGTCTTGCAGCGGAGCCCTGCAAGCAGCGTGAGCAGCGCGCGAGGCGCTTGTGACGACCCCCCCACTGCACACCGACCTCCCGCGCGTGCGACGATTCAGAAGCTAAGAGTTTAGGAAAACCGGATGGCAAAAAGCGGCGGGCGAAGCAAGACGAAGCGCCAGTCAGAGCGCTGCGGCGGCGATGCGAGTGGCGGTTCTCTCAGCTTGAAGAAAGAAAACCAGAAAAAGAATCACACAATTGCACGACGGGAGCAGGAAGACTAACCTTTTCCCGGGGGAGCCGTATCGCGGCGAGGGCCGCCGCGGACTCGCGCTCCGCCGCCTCTTGTAGTCGCGCTCGCGCTCCCTCTCGCGCTCCCGATCCCTTTCCCTCTCCCGATCTCTATCCCTGTCCCTATCCCTATCCCTATCCCTATCCCTATCCCTGTCCCTGTCTCTGTCTCTGTCCCGATCGCGATCTCTGCCGCGCTCCTCGTGGCGGCGGTCGTGCGAGTCGCTGCGGCGACGGTCGCGGTCGTCGCCTCGCCCGCCTCGGTCGTCCCTCGGGCGCGACGAGCTCCTCTCTCGCGACCGATCCCGATCGCGATCGCGCTTCCGATCCGACGACCCCGCTCGCCGCTCCGCATCGGGTGGTGGGGAAGTCCCAGACGCCATTTTACGATTTTGAGACAAGAACGGAGGAAAAATATGATGAAAAGTGGCGACTGTGATGACGGGAGGTGGTTGTGTGCGGGGCGAGCAACGGCGACGAGGGTTTGGTTCGATAACGAGCTAACGGCCCTGTTCGATAGGCTAAGGGCGTGTCTCTTTTTTGACTGCGACGGTTCGAACCGTGGACCGTCCGGGTGGCTCGCGAAGAGGTTACCTACTTCGCCTGGTTTCGCTGGTCTTTCGCTGTTATGAGTTGTCAAACAGAGTTGCGCGGAATAACGAATAACGAGGCTGTGACTTAATGGACTGACGATACAATGAAAGTCATGCGATTATATAGCGAGGCAACCTAGCCAGCGGGAACCTCGGGAACACGAGGTTGAGTGCAGGTTGGGCAAAGGAAAGCCGAAGGCGACGCGAGGTTGCTTCGGCAGCAAGCAAAGCGGCCGAACGTGCACTTCCGAAAGTTGGGGTTGTACGCGGTTGAGTAAACCCCAGTAAGGAAAAAAGGGTTTTCCTTACACTACCCCCCCCTTTAAGAAAGGTGGTCAACATCCGCAGCTCGCTTGCGGGCGAGATAATCACCAAGAAGCGGGGAAGCTTCAAGCGAGGCGGATGGCACCCATGTGTCGTCCTCACTGGTGCGGTCAGTCCAACGGATTAGAAAATCCACGTGGCGTCCAGAAGCGTCGAGCCGAACACGATGCGCCAAAATCTTGGACGGGTCAAGTGTCGGTTCCGGGACAGGTCGGGCTATCGGGACGGCGTTCTGGCGCGCGATGTCTGTCGTGGCAGGCACGAACTTGCGAAGTAAGCTGACGTGGAAGGCGTCGTGAATACGCCAGTCGTCGGGTAGTAGCAGCTTCGCGGTGACAGGTGTCACCATCTTGATGATCTTGAAAGGCCCACAGAAACGTGGCCGTAATTTCGATGGGCCGGGCAGATGCAGGTTCTTCGTGTCGAGTAGCACTAGTTGCCCAGCTGTCATGACGATTTCCCATCGTAGGAGATCCGAGTATTTGCGGGAAGTGGTATTCGCCTTGCGAATTGCGTCCGCAGCCTTCTCGCGAATTTCTTGGAGTTCTGTCACAAATGTTTGTGACCGTGGGACCGGGTTGTCGAGTGTAGTCGTTGTAGGTACCACCGGGTCCATCCCGTAATTCAAGAAGAACGGGGAGTGATTGGTCATGCTGGACGGAGCGTTGTTGAATGCAAATTCCAGCATGGCGAGGGAATTTTCCCAGCGAGCGGGGTCGGGGCAGTTTGTCCTGATCAGCTGCTCCATCGTCTGATTGGTCCGCTCGGTCTGGCCGTCGGTTTGCGGGTGGTATGCCGACGAGAACTGTAGCTTCGTGCCATACAGCGCCCACGTCTCCTTCCAAAATTTCGAAGTGAGCTTTGGGTCCTGGTCGCTGATGATCGCCGATGGGATGCCGTGTAGTCGCACAACGGTGGAGATGAAGAGGCGTGCAGTTTCTTCGGCGGTAATTGTTGTGCGACAAGGTGCGAAATGTGCCATTTTTGTGAGGCGGTCGACGACGACGAGTACAGCGTCGTTGCCGGACGGCCCAGCTGGCAGCCCCGTGACGAAGTCCATCGTCACCTGTTGCCACTGTCGTTCGGGTGGCTCGAGGGGTTGCAGCAACCCAGCTGGCCGCTGACGTGTCGATTTCATGGCTTGGCACACCCTGCATGAGGACACATATCACTTCACGTCGTTAGCGGAATCAGGCCAATAATACTGACGGTGCAACAGCTTCTGGGTTTTATCAACCCCGAAATGTCCGGAGAGGTTGGAATCATGGACCTCCTGAATAAGGAGTTCACGCAGCAGCCGGTAAGCGGGAACCCAAATCCGGTCAGTTCCGGCCTTTAGGTAATAATTCCCCTTCTGCGTCGTCGCCTGCTGGTGATTTCCAGTCGTGAAGAACGGGTCCGTAGTGTAGCCGTGGGTGAATAGTCCCGAAAGAAGCGGGTTCGAATGGGTGATCAGCACAGCAGCGGATTGGACTGTCGGTCGGGTCAGGGCGTCGGCAATATTGTTCGCGCCCTTCTTGTAGGTGATCCTGTAGTGGAAGTGTGACTCCATGTAATCGAGCCACCGGATTTGTCGCGGGTTGAGGTTGGGTTGCGCTCGGAGGTACTGTAGGGATTTATGATCGGTGCGAACAGTGACGTCGGCGCCAGTCAGGTAGCATCGCCACAGTTTAAACGCGTGAATGATGGCGAGCATCTCCTTGTCGTGAATCGGGTAGTTGCGCTCGGCTGCCTGCAACTTGCGTGACTCGTAGGCGATCGGTTGTAAGCCGTTGCCAAAATCCTGGAGCAGCACTGCGCCGATGGCGAAATCTGAGGCGTCGGTGACAACTTCGAACGGCTTGGATGGGTAGGCGATGCGAAGAACCGGAGGGGACACCAGCAACTGCTTCAACTCCTGAAAAGCCGCCTCAGCTTCCTCCCCCCACACGAAGTTCCTGTCCTTGTGCAGCAAGTCGGTCAGCGGGCCGGTTATCCCCGCCATATTCGGGATAAACCGCCGGACATAATTCACAAACCCCAGAAAACTCTGAAGTTCCGTGACATTAGTCGGGGCCTTCCACTCCTGGATGGTCTTGATTTTCTTCGGGTCGATTTTGATGCCGTCGCGTGAGATGACGTGCCCCAAAAACTCCAACTCTTGCTTAAAGAACTCGCACTTAGAGCCTTTGGTGATGAGCCGGTTCTCCTGTAGCCGCTTAAACACTGCGTCGAGGTCGCGGAGGTGCTGCTCGCGTGTCCTGCTAAAAATCAGAATATCGTCCAAGTAGACGATAACACACTTGTCCAGCAGGTCGCGAAACACCCTGTTCATGGTGCGTTGGAATGTTGATGGCGCATTCGTGAGGCCAAAGGGCATCACGGTGAACTCGTAACTGCCGTAGCGGGTTCGGAAGGCGGTCTTGTGACAATCGTCAGCGAAGACTCTAATTTGGTGGTAACCGCCGCGTAGGTCAATCTTCGAGAAGTAGCGAGCGCCGCGAAGTTGGTCGAGGAGGTCGTTGTCAGAGGTCCACTGGTGATCCCCGATTGATCCTAGGGAAGGGTTACAGGCACATCGGCCTGGGGGGTTATGGGCGCACTTACCCGCCATACAAACAAGCCCTTTTATCCCAGTGGTTAGTGGCTGGGATTCTGACATGGTATCAGAGCAAAGGTCTCGGGTTCGAATCCCGGTGTGTGCACCTCGGGCATCCCAGTGCGGGGGGGTGTCAGAGGTCCACTGGAGATCCCCGATGATCCTAGGGAAGGGTTACAGGCACATCGGCCTGGGGGGTTATGGGCGCACTTACCCGCCATACAAACAAGCCCTTTTATCCCAGTGGTTAGTGGCTGGGATTCTGACAGTCGTCGGTGCGTGGGATGGGATAGCGAGATTTGATGGTAACCCGGATAAGCGCGCGATAGTCGATGCACATGCGAATGCCGCCGTCCTTCTTCGGTGTGAACAGGATCGGTGCGGCGAAGGGCGAAGTACTGGGTCGGATGAAGCCCTTCTCCAACAGTGACTCAAGTTGACTTCGAAGCTCCGCATGTTCAGGCTGAGTCAACCGCCACTGTGTACGAACAGTCGGTTGCGCGC